TGAAAAGAGGCCTAAGTTACAACAGCATAAGGAGTCACACGATTAACAAACAGAAACAAGCTGGTACAATATGTGCATGGATGAGATTTGCACACATTCCCAACACTTTAGCATTCACCTGAGCCGAGGCTGTTTGTGCAGAGTAAATGGGCAGACAGGTACACAGATGGCAAACCGACACATTTAGCATCATCCAAAACATTTAAGATGAAGGTAAAAATGCCCAGAGGAATACAGAGATTAAAATTAAGCTATTCTTCCTGGGAAGGAAGGGAAGTCACAGAGGAGGGAGGAAGGCATCTGGGAAAGACTTTTTAAAGCAGGTATTCTTGGAAATCAATGCCATGATCTGTAAGGATAGATTAAACTACATACATCTTTAACAAAATTCCTTAGCTGTACTGCCTAACACTGATAGACTAGAAACTGACTCCCATACAAGCTAGGGAAAGTGTAAAACAAACAGAGTATAAAATAAGGTCATAAAATTAAGTCTGATCTCCCGACACGGGAGTAGCTTTCCTATTTCCTAGAGACCTAACTGATACACACATAAGATACAGCCAGTCCTAGTTGCATGAAGAGATCCACTGCAGTCTAAGTTTCATGGGGGAGGGGGGGCTGTAAATGGATCATTTCTCATGCCCTGCTGCAAAACATGTTTTCTCCTTGCAAAGAGTTTTTATTCAAATTAATTTAATTATTATGGCAACATTTAACTTTCCTGGCCTAGGGTTTTAAAAAGTTTCTATCCGCAAAATCTGATATTAAAGGTAAATCTGTCCAGACACTGGACTATGACTATTCTAGTTAACGAGGGTTGTTTTAACGACATATGGCAGAAATAGTGGCAGCTCTGAAATGCTGATGTCCTCTGTATAAACACAGAGTAGCAGCAGCATCCTGTCCTGAAAAGACTTTTGCACCCAGAGTGAAGAACTTTCCAACCCCTTGGCCTCTCTACTGGCCAGAACAGGGCAGCTCCAGCCAACTGCAAAGGAAGTTGGCACAATGGATTTTTTTAAGTAGCTTTCTGGGCTTGTCCACTATGGATTTCTTCTGGTGCTAAAGTTTCAGAAATGGCGCTGTTCTTGAAAGCCAGCAGTTTCCATGTGGCATCTTGTCTGTCCGGGGCAACTGCTTGCTTAGGCTAGGTCTACACAGCAGTGTTATTTCAGATTAACTAGCAACTGCTTGCTTAGGCTATGTCTACACAGCAGTGTTATTTCAGATTAACTGACCTTTTTCCAAAATAACATAACCTGCATCTACATGACAAGCAGTTATTTCGACATGTCATCGAGCTGGAGGACTTCTTACTGCATGACAAGCAGTTATTGCGACATGTCATCGAGCTGAAGGACTTCTTACTCGGACTCTTGTAACCCTCATTTTATGAGGAGTAAGGGAAGTTGAAGGAAGAGTGTTCTTCCTTTGACTTCTGCTGTGTAGACAACGCCAAAAGCCGAAGTAAGCTATTTCAACTTTAGCTGTGCAATTGACACCTTTAAATCAAAACAGTCAGATCCATCAGTGTAACTGAGCAGAAAGAGGTCAAGGTTGGAAATTAGGAAAAACTATTTCACAAGGAGGGTGGTGAAGCACTGGAGTGGGTTACCTAGGGAGGTGGTGGAGGCTCCATCCCTAGAGGTGTTTAAGTCTCGGCTTGACAAAGCCCAGGCTGGGTTGATTGAGTTGGGATTGGTCCTTCCTTAGGCAGGAGGCTGGACTTGATGACCTCCTGAGGTCTCTTCCAGCTCTATGATTCTATAAATATGGAGTAACACCACTGGCCACAATGGCACCACACCTGAATTCACACCATCATACCGGAGAAGACTATCACGGTTATCAGTGCACGAGGAGAGGTGGAATTCATCTGTCCTCCATTCCGAGATGCACCGGGAACAGACCATGACACAAAAGGAACCATCAGTCTCGAGAGCCCAAACAGCGACCTTGCTAAATCCACCCGCCTCTTGCTTCCCTCCTCCCCCAAATACAGGGGGAATGTCGGGTGGGGGAAACAGCTTGTGTCTAAGCCCTTTGCCATAACGTGTAGTGGGAGCTTTGAAACTTGACAGACTCATTTTATTGGAGGAGGGAGTGGCCATGAAGTCAGCCCAGCTGCGACCAGGCTTAGAAGTTAGACATGTGCTTAAGTGCTTTCCCAGGCTAGTGCCCGAAGGAGCCCTTGCCATAGGAAAGTCACTTTCTCCACAATGACTGCAAACTAACAAGGAAGAGCCAATTGTGTACCTCAATACAAAGACACACCCACATCGATATCTAGGAGCGGCTGTGTGGCATCTCTGTGCATTTAGTGAGCACAAGTAGTCAAGCCCCCCGTCAACTGTAACAGCTCACTCCCAACACACACAGAAAAACAACTCGTGAACCTCAGCGTAGTACTCGGAGATAAACAGTTTAGCGTTCGTGCCGGGCTTTGAACCTGGACGCGCTAAGTACAATTAAGAGTGAAGGGCTCCGAGCATGTTCGTCTGAACGTTTGATTTAACTATAAAAGCGACAAGGAGTCTTGTGACACTTTATAGACTAACAGATTTATTGGAGCATAAGCTTTCATGAATCCTCTGAACTGTCATTCATGTTAAAATTCGACACTTTCCAACAAGGACTTAACAAACATTTGAACTATCTCACCCATTAGACAGATTCAGACTAACATGGCTACCCTTCTGATCCTTGATTTAATTATAGGACTGAGAAACATCAACTCCTGTTAAATATCATTTTGTAGCAGTGACCAGGATATGGGCTACATTGTGCCAAGCGCTGGCCAATACATCGTAAGATATCAGTCCTGTCCCAAAGAGCTTACAATATCAGAGGACACGTGACATACAGAGAGTGGAAGAAATGGACACAGTTGAGTACATACCGTTGTATGTAAAATCAGAAAGAAATGTGAGTGTTTCAGTGCCAAGTGTCCTCATTTTCCCCTTGAGCCAAGCAGCCAAAGGTCAGGCTGGATGAATGAAAAATACTTTTCTAGCCTAGCTACCTATAGGCCCATCAATGTGATGGCAGCAGCTTTGTTCCCAGACAATATGGGTAAAGCACAGGTTCCATTCTGTGGTCCAAATGGGACCAGCCAAGGCAACAGCACCATAAGCACAATACAGACTCATTCAAAGCATTGCTTAGGATTCAGGGACATCCTGTCACCCACACTCCCCCCAAAAAAGTGGTGCTGCCAAAACAAAAACAAACCCTAACCTCAGCATAGATGCCAATGGAGCAGCTAGTCCGGTATACATTTTGGTGCTCTCCCAATACACATACTGGCTGCTTTTTTAAGAGCAAAGCCTGTAGGTCAGAAAGGTTTCTCTAACCTTAACTACTAGCCAACGTAGGACTGGAATGCCATGAAAACAGAACTTCCTCACTGTAAGGTTCACTACAACAAGCAGACTGTTAACGGATCCATGTCATGGGATTCACCAATTTAGGGCAGGGGGCAAGAGAAAACAGTTACAGAAGCTGAGGCCACCAAGTAAACTACTTTATAAAACACCCACCCACACACTTCCTTATCTCGAAATTGGAATTACTTCTCCCCTGCCAAGAATGAGATCTCAGTCTATAAACTAACTTATTCCACAAGGTGGGGTAAAGGGGTTGGGAATCGTACCCTCCCCAAACTCCTGTAAGTGCCTGGTTACTCCTTACTGCACCCACTTTTCCAGAATAAACCCCCTCACACCTCCAACACACCTCACCACATTCAAATCAAACCCAGGGCTCAGCTGTGAAACTGACATTGAAATTCACCCAAGGAAAGGGGAGGAGGCAGTGGAAGAGACTGAACAGCATAAAGCAAAGAAGGGCTTGTCTTAGAAGGGTTAAAGTCAAGCTCTCCACGTAGATACTGGCCTGGCAGGACCCCAAACACACACACACACACACACACACACACACTTTTCTCCTAAGCCATCAGGCATTTTTGAGTCACAAAACACCATGAATCACATCGTTCAGCTGTGGGAACAGAAAAGGATACTCGAGTGGGGGGGGGCAAACTTTAGGATGTTTCCCTTTCTCCAAGCAGAAATTTCAACTGACAGTGATTAATACACATTTTTTCCATATTAGCCTTCAGATTTCATTATCTCCCCCCAGCAATACGTCTGATCTCATTTCCATAATAGGATTGCAAGCGTAGATGTCAGAAGTAGTCTCCCCTCCCACTGCACATGAGAGAATGGTGCTAAATTATCGCCACTTCTATTCCTCCCTTCCCCCCTCCGCGAAAACATACACACCCCATCCAACCCTGGATGCATGTTTGGAGACATGTTTATACTAACTCCAAGCGCTCGCGCGGGAACACAGATGAAAGGCGTGCAAAGCAAGACACCTCCCGGAAAACTTCAATGTAAAACGTGCAGAGCAGCCAGGAATGCAGTACGGACCCCCGGCCATCCGTTTCCAAAGGGTTTTCTGAAGAAAAGTAACTCTCTCAAGCGCCTGGAGTGCCTTTGATTTGGCAGAATTTGCCTTTGAAATCTCTATATTTTACATGTTAAGATTGCAGAGCTGGAGGCTTCCCTGAAGGGAAGCAAAGAGAAAGCCATGCCCTAGTTTACAAGAAGGAATTTAAAATCCAAATGATTTTTTTCCCCTGCGATCTCCCTTTTATCCTTTTACAACTTCACTTCGCCCTCAACACACTCCGCCCTCCCAAATTCTCGCCGTGCTATATCTCCCACTTGGGCTAATTAAAAAAAAAAGCGGTTTAAAACAGTAACGCGCATAATCGGTTGTGTAACATACCCAGAACCTAACGCATCCATGTAAATGGGGGATTATTTATTTTTTTTAAAAATCCCATTGTTTCTAAATCAAAGAGCCACTAAATCCACGAGAAGTGACCCATTTAAGATACAGCGTTGACCTAAGTACAGATATGAAAACAGTTCATTTGAAAACCCAAAAGGTGGATAGAGGGGGGGGGATAAAACCGGAAGACGACTCACCTGGTTTAAATCTTCATCATTGAGCAAATGGGATTCTCGGGGTTTAAAGCAATTCTGACATTTGCTTTTATTAAAAATGTTGGCTTGAAATTTCCGGCAGGGATTATCTTTAGCAGACATGGTGTTGTTGCCCTGCACTCCTAGGGAGTTCGTCCCCACTTTTCTTTAGATCCCAGGTCTTTAAAAAGAGGGTGGAACTGACAATTCCTTCAAGGTGAATTGTTGCAGCGACGTCTTCAGTCCACTTCCAGGATCACGAGCCCACGGAGCCAAAAGTCAGCGTCGCCCGAAACTCGGTTGGTAGCATCCCAATTTCCAAAAGCGTGGGGGAGAGAGATGGGCAATGAAGAAGGCACACTCAAGCCGGACTGGGACTCCAAACAATAATGCAAAGCCAAGCCAAACAGTTCTTCGCAGACTATTGGCTTCTCCCCCCCACCCACCCCCACCCTGGAAACAGAGACAATCCAGCGGCCGGGGCAAGCTTGCCTTGCAGGAGGTGGAAATCCCAGATGATCCGTTTCCCCTCCAAAGAAAAGAAGAAGGAGGGAGGGAAGGGGGGGAATCAAACGCAAGAAAAACAGCTCAGCTCCCCTCCCCCCGCACCAGCGCAAGTTAAGGCACAATTGCAAGCAAGCGCCAGGGCTGGCTGCCCGCACGGGTTGGCTCCTTAGAGGGAGGGGGCGACTTTCCGTGCATAATAATCCAGGTTTGCAAAGCGCCTCGGCGTGTGGGAATCCGGGAAAGCGGAGCAGCAGCGAAAATAATCAATGCAACTTCCTCCCTTCTCCTCCCCCCCTCCCCCGACAGCGCCGCTGGGAAGAGGGACTGCCCAGGAGATCCTCAAATCTGCCCGCACGGGTTGGCTCCTTAGAGGGAGGGGGCGACTTTCCGTGCATAATAATCCAGGTTTGCAAAGCGCCTCGGCGTGTGGGAATCCGGGAAAGCGGAGCAGCAGCGAAAATAATCAATGCAACTTCCTCCCTTCTCCTCCCCCCCTCCCCCGACAGCGCCGCTGGGAAGAGGGACTGCCCAGGAGATCCTCAAATAAGGCACAACTCCCATCTACTGCCAAAGGGTCTTCTTGCAACGCCGACCCTGCCGCCGCCGCCTCCCGGCCTCAGGCCGCCCAGGGCTGCATGCTCCGAGGGAAACGCCTCTCTCCCCCCGGCGGGGGGGGGGGATTGTTTTTTGCATTCACTCGGGGCGC